GCCACCTGCTGCCACTCCTACCTACATTACTAATTTAATTCCACAACTTAAATTGTTTATTTTTGAATGTCAAGTTAGCAAAAATGACCCAATCAGGGTCATATTTGCTCATGGTTCTTAGTCCATTTCTTATTAGGTGGTGGGAAGCCTGGATCACTGGTAATATGGGAAGAGAGGGAGAGAGAAGAGGAAAGGAAGAGATGTCTGTTTGCCAAGTTTCCATGTGTTTATATTTTCATTTAGAAGAGACATCTCTGTGGGTAGTGTATTTGGTAAAAGCTTAATTCATAAATGGATGCTATTTTTAAGCAGCCTTTGAGCATTCACCTCTTTCACTTATACGTTAAAGTAATTTAACTAAAGAACATACTTTAAAAGATGGTATTATTGGTCTAATAAAACCTATCACCTCTACTATAAGCCCTGATTGTCTTTTCCTCTAGACCAATATGGCTACAACCTGGATACTTGACACATGAAAGATACTGAATTTTAGCCGATTTTTTTAACGACATTTTCATATTTTCCCAAGCAGGAAGGAACTGTGACCACTTGAAACCTGAGATCCTGCTCCTGCCTTTGTTTCAAGGTAATTTGCATCATCACAGATCTTCACAGGAGGTGAGAGGCTCCATACCAACTATGAACTGATTGCCCAGAGGAGTTTTCTATCTATTGACTCCTTTGTGAAATCCTATGAAATATGAACTTTAATTTCTACCCAGGAGAACTTTTACAATCTTTTCTCCAATGCGTGATGAAGGGTGTTTGTGCCTGAAAGCTTGCAATTAAAGAATTTTTTTTTTTTGCAAAAAAGCTTGTTGGTTTAATAAAAGATATCTCTACTACGAGTCCTGGTTGCTTTAAAAGAGGTCATTTATATCTAAAGTTTAGCAAGCACAAGAAGGATGCATCTGCTAGGAAGAACAAGAGATGAATTCAAGTCTAAAGATGGTGAAGAGGCTAGCCTGGGAACAAGAGGAAGCTTCAATTTTTCTTTTGTTTGCATGAATACAGACAAGAAGAAATGGAGACCAAAATCATTGAACCCAATCTTCATTTGAAGCAATTGAGATTGTTCACAGACATTCAAAGCTACTGAAACAGAATTAACTCCTCTAGTGCTACCTAACCTATCACCTATCGGGAAATTTAGGTGCACTTCTATAGCTGCGATACACACTACCTACTACTCTTATGAAAAGACGAGAAAGCGTTCCACTGAACACATGGACATACAAACAAATTTCCTGCAAGGCACAGCCAAGGGTTTTACTGTGCATGAGCTGCTTTGGTGCTACTACCTATGTGCATGTTTGTAATCTTTGGTAAACTGAAGCTCAACTGCACTTGTTTATCCTGCAGTGATGGAGGGTATGGGTGGGGAGTTAGCCAGAAGGAGTCAACATACAGGAACCCCTTTTTACCCTGCAATTTTTTGTTTGTATGTCCACACCATGACACTATTATTGGATCAAAATGCAACCACCAAAACAAAGCATTTTACAAACAAAACAAATCATACAACACTTCCGGTGTTATAGACCCTACAAGCCTGAACTGAAAAGTCAGAGGGAGTTCAGAGAAGAGCATCAAAAACTGATTACTGGGAAGAGGCTACACAGCAAAGGATGCTGAAGGGCTCAATTTGTACACCATAATTAAGTGTTGCAGGGAGCATGGCCATGGAAGAACAGATGAATGCACTAAACAACAGGTAAACACTGAAACACTGAACAACAGGTAAAGATCTCCGACATTAAAATTATTGAAATTGTATAATAATTCCTTCCTAGGGAAGGCAGCAGAAACCCTACTGCTTGGGACACTTAAAGGAAAATGACACAGAATTAGAACAACACTTTCTGCAGAAAGCCTCTGCACTAGCTCCCCAAGCAACTGGCTAGATTATCTAGAAAAATCTTCTCAATCTCTGATCCTATCAAATAAAACATTCACAGCCTCATGTTGACTCACAGTTCTGATTATGTGTGCACTGGCACTGAACTGGTAACACAGTAAAAATGCTTGAGGCTGTTATGCTGAGGACTAAAGCCATTTCCTTACTTCCTTCAAAAGCCTCATTTCCATGTATATAATCTGGGCCAATACAAATGGAATTTAAGAGCACCACGGCTGTCTCTTACCACAGAAGGAATGAACTACATACATTTTCTAAGCAAGTGCTGTCTTTGTCTTTATTGAGGTAATGCTGCTGCCAGAATCGCAAGAGACTGTGAAAGTTGTTCAGGATGAAACCAGGGTACTTCTCTGTATATTCCATCTGTTGCAACGTGCGAAGGTAAAACGGTAGCTTGTCTTTCCTTCGGGCCAGCATTAAAATAACTAAGCTTGTGTTCAAACAGCTGACGTTTTCCTAAAATAAACAACATACAATAAGCAGTAACGGATATCCTTAATAAAGGATATCAAGTGTTCTAGACACTATTTTTCATGAGAGGAACACAGAAGTTGCTTAGGGTCTGAATTTAATGGAGCAAAATGTTTTTATTCCTATTGTATGGTTAGGACAGGTGTGTCATAACAAGAAATCAGCCCCTAGAACTGATGAATGAATATGATTACAGCAGTAAAATGTTACTGTCAGTTCTTTACCTGTGTAAGTGTCTGCACATGAATTATATTAATGAGGCGGAAAAGGAAGGACATCCTCATGGACATCTGAGACATGTACGATAACAGGTGGCACTCAGACAAGACTTCTGCAACTATAGGGAAGACAACCAGATCATTAGATTTCCATAGATCAGATATAATCATATTAATCTTTCAAAGTTAATGTGGAAGCAAGGACATGTCAGTAACTCTTCAATCCAATGCAGAACTATGCATCATGTTCAGCTGAGCAAACAGGTAGCATCTGAAAAGGAGAAAAGGACTGAAGATGGCTGTCTCAAGGATGGGTCATCTTCAGTCAAGAGTTCTTATATTACTGTATGGATTGTGAAAGAAAGCAAGAAAAAACTAGCAACACAGGAAACAAAGCAATGAGAACTGGTGCTCATAGTTATTAAGCACATGTGCTGAGTATCATTTGTCTTTGGCACTTTCCTACCAATGATATTAAGGCTTAGTTCCATTCTTTTAATTAAACATCAGAATCACTGAGTTTTCCTTTACCTTTAGCATCCGACTGGTTCTCAAATCGGTCCAGGGACAGTGTAATGCAACGAACCAGCATGTTTGAGTCTACCAAAGAACTGTTGATCTGATTCAAAAAGATCTGAAACTAAAGAGAGAAAATTGCAAAAAACAAAGATTCTCTATGTAGGGATCTTTCTAAGTCATGGTGAGCAAAAGGGATTTTCATGGGTCACTCCACAGTGCACAGAGCTGATTTAATGATGACTCCACCCCTTGTTGCTGATGGCCTTGCCTCTCACTGCTACCAGCCTCTTACTGAGGAGCCAGCATTTTATTTTTAGCAGGTTTTTTGAGGGGGTGGGGGGGGGAGGCGGGGGGTATGATTTCATGGATAATGCCTGATTTTGTGGTTTCTGTGAAATCCATGAAATCGTGAATTAAGTCAGTCCCTGTCCATGTGTGCACATTTTGTATTAGGACAAGAGGCAGAATTGCACACACCCTGAGAGCCCAGTATGAGCAGTCGTATGCATGTTACCCTTCTTATTCCAGTAGTGCATAGGTAACAGATTAGCTACTTGCTGCAGGTAGGACTATAGACAAGACACCATGAATAGTAAAGGTACAGTAAAGGGCAGGACGGGTGGAAAACTATTAGAGCAGAGGTCAGCAACCCCTGGCACATGTGCCGAGCATGGCACACGAGGCCATTTTGCTTGGCACACGACTGCCAGCCTGGGCTCTAGGCAGCTGCTGCCAGCCACTAAGTCTGGGCTGCTCCCAGCAAGTGGCTGGGAAGCTGCAAGCCCTGCTGCAAGCAGCCCAGGTTCCGTGATTGGCAGCAGCTACCCAGAGCCTGGGTCAGTTGCAGCCAGAAGGCTGCAAACAGCTGCTCCGGGCTCCAGCATCAGCTCCATACCAGCGGGTGCACGCACACCTTGGAGTGGACAGTGGGGGAGGGCCCTGAGGCAGTGCAACCCTGGCCTCTCCCCTACTGCTGGCACAGAGCTGATGATTGGGCTCCGGATCCCAGCGCAGCTGTTTGTAGCCAGCCTGGGCTCCTGGTAGCTGCAGCAGGCAGTGGGCAGGCTGCAAACAGCTGTGCTGGGCTCCACAAACCCAACATCAGCTCCATGGCGGTGGCGACTGCATGTGCACCTCAGAGCAGACAGTGGGAGGGCTATGTTACCTCAGGCCCTATCCCCATCGCTTTGAGGCGCATGTGCATCCACCACTATGGAGCTGATGCTGGAGCCTGGAGCAGCTGTTTGCAGCCTCCCAGCTGCAGCTGGCCCAGGCTCTGGTAGCTGCTGACTACCATGGAGCCCAGGCTGCTTGCACTAGGGCTTGAAGCTGAGCCTGCCTGACTCCAAGCCCAGCCCCTCAACCAGGATGAGGCTGGCGCTGCCCCTTGTCAGGAGCACTGCACCTTTTGCGGGCTTAGCTATGCGGGACGGGTGGGTAGGCTGGGCTGATGGGCAGGCTCCGGGCTGGGGCCTCGGCCAGTTGTGCTGCAGCCTGGGGCTGGCTTCCCGGGGAAGCACAGGGGCTCTGGCGGGACCAGGGCATTGTCGGGTCGGACTTTGTCCAGCAGCCCAGGAGCCTGGCTCTGTGCGCCTGTGCATCTGGTTTTGTGCGTTTGTCTGCCTCTGTGTGCGCACACGTGTCTGGTTCTGGATGCGTGTGAGCATCTGTCTTTTTCTGGGTGTGTTCTGCTTCTCTGTGTTTGTGCAAGTGGTTCTCTGTGTGCATGTTCTCTCTCTGCTTTCCTTTTCCTCTCTCTCTCTCCTCTTTCTCTTATTTGTCTCTTTCTTTTCTCTCTCTCTCATTGCAACATGCTCAACAAAAAAGGACTACATAAACACCAAAGGCAACATTTATAATTATTACATATACTAATATGCAGTGCGTCCTGCCATGTACCCGCCCCCCGCCCTCATTTTGTTTTTCTGGCATGCTGGCACTCTGGCACCTTCCAAGGTAGACATTGTGGTTTTTTCAGCACTCCTGCCAAAAAACGTTGCCTACCCCTGTATTAGAGCAAGCCCATGAACTGGCAAACGGGAAACCAGTAAGATGGAAAACAATAGGAAGAACACTCTAACATAGGCGAAAGGACCAGCGAAACATGAAGTCGAGGGCCACCAATGGTAGACTCATATGCCTGTACACAAATGCCAGGAGCATGGGGAACAAGCAGGAAGAGCTGGCCCTCCTGCTAACCAGTAAGGAATACAATCTTATTTGGATAATGGAGATCCGGTGGGACTGCACCCATGACTGGACCACAGGTATAGAGGGCTATACCTTATATTGGAAGGATTGCATAGGGAACAAGGGTGGAAATGTTGCTCTCTATGTGAAAGAGCAGTATACATCCCAGGAAGCCAAGATAGACACAAAAGAAGGGCAACTTGAAACCCTCTGCGTTAATATACAGGGAGGGTGTGGTGAAGGGGACTTGACGGTAGGAGTATATTACAGACCTCTGAATCAAGCAGAGGAGGTTGATCTGGAATTCTCCAGAGAACTGGCAGAGGCTGCACACTCATGGAACATGGTTGTCATGGGTGATTTCAATTACCCAGACATCTCATGGGAAGAGCACTCAGGTAGATCTGAGTGATTGCATAGCTTCCTCACTCGCTTCGAGGAGCTATATTTGACTCAAGAAGTGTACAGGCCAACTAGGGGAAAGACGCTCCTAGATTTGGATGATCTAATGAGTAACCAGAGGATCAAGGGAAATCTAGGTGACAGTGACCATGACAATCACTTTCATCGTCCATTGTAAGGCAGGGAAATCAGTCAGTAGGGTAGAAATCCTTGATTTTAGGAAAGCTGACTTCTACAAGCTTAGCAGATTGGTGGATGAGGCCTGCAGGACCATGGTCTGATGGGGATGGGAGTCCAAGAAGAATGGGTGTTCCTTAAGGATATGATCCTTGAAGCAGAAAGGTGGTCTACTCCTGTTTGTAAGAAAGGTAGCAAAAAGGCTGGGAGGCCCCCTGGCTCAATAGGGAGGTCACGGACCTCCTGAAAATGAAGAGAAGCCTGTAAGAGATGGAAGCTGGGAATTCCAAGCTCCGCCAAGAAGTACACAGGATTAGAAAAGCAAAGGCAGAAACTGAATACAAACTGGCAACAGAAATCAAAGACAATAAAAAGTCCTTCTTTAGATGCGTAGAAAGCATGAAACAAATAAGGGAAACGTAGGACCCCTGTTGAATGCAATGGGACAGCTGATAACTGACACTCAGGAGAAAACCAAATTCCTACATGAATGCTTCCTGTCAGTACTCCACCAGATCAAGAATATTAAGTTGCCTGACAGGAAGCAGGATGGACAAGGGTGGGGGTGATCACTCACCTATAATCAGCAAAGATCTTGTGAGGGAATACCTAGAGAGCCTGGTTATCTACAAGTCAGCAGGACCAGATGAACTACACCCAAGAGTGTTGAAAGAACTGGCTGATGTCATTGTACAACCAATGACAAAGCTATTTGAGAACTCATGGCACTTGGGTGAGGTCTCAGAAGACTGGAAGAGGGCCAATGTGGTGCCTATCTTCAAGGAAGGAAGGAAGTAGGACCCAGAGAATTCTAAGCCAATCAGCCTGACCTCAATCCCTGGAAAAAATTTATCAAAGAATCCATCAGTGATAGGCTAATACAGGGGCGGGCCATTATTTTGGGCGAGGGGCCGCTTACTGAGTTTTGACAAGCCATTGAGGGCCGCATGACAGGCAGCCATCTTAATTTTCTAGATTTTTTAGGGGCCTCACGCGCCAGATAGAACGGCCTGGTGGGCCACATTTTGCCCACCCCTGGGCTAACAGAAGGCAGTATTCTAAAAGCCAGCCAACATGGCTTTGTTGCAGGTTGGTCATGCCTGAACAACCTCATTTCCTTCTCTGATCAAGTAACTTGCCACCTGGATAAGAGAGATGAGGTCGACATCATATATTTGGATTTCAAAAAGGCCTTTGACTTGGTCTTTCATGGTGTCCTCATGGTTAAATTGAGAAATTATGGCCTCAGCAACTTAATGTAGCTGAGAAACTGGATCCGAGGTCAGACCCAGAGAGTGTTAATAGACACAACCAAGTCAACATGGCTAAGGATGACCAGTAGTGTCCCTCAAGGCTCAGTACTTGGACCAGTCAGTGCTTTTCAACATTTTCATCAATGATTTGGATACAGGTGTAGAAAGCGCATTGGCAAAGTGCGCAGATGACACCAAGTTATGGGGCAGTGTGGTCACGCTGGAAGACAGGCTGAGAATACAGGTTGACCTGGACAGGCTTGTAAAGTGGGCAGACCTAAACATGATGATGTTTATCACTGAGAAGTGTAAAGTGCTCCATCTGGGGATAAATAATCCACAACATACTTCCAGGCTCAGTGGTGCTACACTAGCCAGCACCACAACTGAAAGAGATCTGGGGGTCACAATCGAGCACAAAATGAACATGAGCCACCACTGCAATGCTATAGGCAGCAAAGCAAACAACATGCTGGCAACGATGTATCTCAAGCAAGACTTAGGATGTCATCCTCCGGCTCTACTCAGCATTGGTGAGGCTGCAGTTGGAGTTCTGCGTTCAGTTTTGTGCGCCGCACTTCAAGAGGGATGTAGAGAAGCTGCAAAGAGTCCAGAGGAGGGCCACACAAATGATTACAGTTCTGGAGAACAGACCATATGAGGAGAGGCTGAAGGACATGAGACTGTTCAGCCTGGAAAAGTGAAGACTATGGGGGGGACTTGGTGGCAGCCTTTAAGCAATTGGGGTAGGGGCTGAACATAAAAGGAGCTTGAAGCCAGCAATCTTACAACCTCAACATATAGGGAAATATCTGGTTAAATCCTGGGTCCATTAAAAACAAGGGACAAAACTCCCCAATGACTTCAAAGGGATCAGGATTTCACCTTCTTTCATTTAAACTACTGGTAAACTTAGATGAATGGCAGAGTGGAAACAGAATAGACTACAGCTGGTAATTTTTTCCCCATTGAAACATTAGGCAAAGCCTTTTTTTTTTTTTTTTTTTTTTTTTTTTTTTTTTTTTTTTTTTTTTTACATGTTTTACTTTTCCACAACCCCCACCAAAAAACAAACCACCCCTACAAACAGAAAAACTGAAGATTTTTTTCAGCTCACAACAACAGAAGAATAGGGCGAGAGATGGGAGTGTTTTCTTTCAACAAAAACAAAACAAAGCTCAGTGTTAAAATAAAAGGGAACACAATTTTGGTCAGGCTTGGGTTTTGGACTAAAAATCGTGCATGCTTTGACTAGCTATCTGGCCAGTCACCTCCCCTGGACTTGTGCAAGTGATTCCACGTCCCTGATAACTCCCTGCAAGACCATAGAGTCATGCATTTAGCATGGCCCTGGACAGGGAATGGGGCTAAACTAAGTACAGAGTTTCAAAAAGCCCAAATTCAAACTTTGCAGGTTTTTCCAAGCGTAGACTAAACTGATAACAAACTGAACTGACATTCAGTGTTCAGGTGGTCAACGCAGGCAGAAGCTGCACTAGCCCAGGCTAGAAGCCTGGGGGAACTCATGCACAGCACCCCTCATGGCCACACTGCCTAAGGCTGCTAAACCCAGCCCAGTGGCAGCCCAGGCCTAAATGACTTCTGGACACGCAGCCCCACTTGTTGTCAGGCACAGGGAAGGGAGATTCAGCAGACAATCTCTCCCCAGCGCCTGCCCTTGGTAAATTTTGTCCCTAGCCTGGGAGGGATACAGCAAATGAGTCCCTTCCACATACTCAACCGTAAAGAATTTGCCACTCTAGGGTAGTCACTGGGGAGCACATATAACATTTGAGACTGCCTAGAAAGGCAGTCCAGCGTGGAGCCACCTTAGCCCCGCTGTGAGCCCAGGAGGTGGCAGGACGCACCATGGGTGGGTGGAGTGGAGCAGACATGGAGGCCGGGTCAGGGCTGTGTGCATGCCTGGCTGATCCAATCCTGCTGGGGTCAGTCCAGAGAGGGTGCGGGGCACACTGGAGCTGTGCGCTGCTGGTAGTGGTGGGGAACACTGCAGGGCGCACAGGCTCTAGGCTGTTGTGGGGTAGGGGCAGGTGCTGACCAGCTCAGGGGGGCACATGTGAGGGGCTCCCATGCATACCCCACCATACCCACAAACCCTCTGGCAAAAACCCCATAACTATACTCTCCCCCACCCACAATCACACACCCCACAAACACCACAACTCCCCACACCTCTCCCCAAACACACCCATGGGTCTCTGTGGGGAGCCCAGCTCACTACTGCCTGCACACACCCCACCAAACACACACAGCCACACACCTCCACAAACCCCATACCCACCCACATAGCCCCAAAAACTCCCCCACAAGCCTATATCCACCCACATCCAAACATATCCCCAAGCCCCATACACACCCACGCACCCATTACCACCGTCCCGCAATACACAAGACTGAGACTTCATTTTGAACTATCGCGCAATCACTTCTATAGATATGACGCAAAAACATACAAACTGGGACAAAAAAAATCTTTTAAAAATAAAATTAAAATATGTCATTGTGAATGTTAGATTTTTAATATATAATTTGTTTGTTTTTTCCCAGTTCCAAGATGGCTAACCCCCTTCCCAAATAGAGTATTTCAGGCCAAGGGCAGGGAATTCCAGTGACAAAGGGCAGGGGCTAGGGAGCAGGACTTCTGGTACCAAGATGGCAACCAGGAGGCGGGGCACTTGTCAAGGACTATGGCTACACTTGTGGCCCTCAATAGCTCACTAAACTCATGAAGCAGCCCTCCAGCCAAAATAATTGCCTGCCCCTGCACTACAGCATTAGAGAGCTTGCAATCTAAAAAGGAACACTCTTGTCAGAATTATATTTCCATTCCTATTCTGAGGCTTGTCAAATCCAGTGAACAGAGGGAATTTATAGTACCATAAAAAATTGTGTCCTCTTGTTCAACTGTCATTCAGAAAAAGGCTCATCTCTGTTAAAAGTGCATGTCACAGACAGCCATGATAAGTGCATTTAATCACTGAGATCTGTCGACAAGCCATAGTACACACCTGCCAGGCCTCACCCACTGCCTGCTCCCCCAGCTCCCCTGAGTGCCCCCCACCCCCACACGGTGGTCCACTC